TATATATATATATATATATATATATATATATATATATATATATGATATATTTTGAATGAAAATTGCTCATATTATAAGATGTAACTTTAAAATAATGAATAGAAAAACAAAAGACAATTGCAAGTTTTATTTACTTGCAAAATGCAAATTTTAGGTAAACTTTCATTGTTTCAAGAATATCTATACCTATACAAAATACAATATGATATACTTTTAAATAAAGTGTACAGGTATAAGAGAATTAATTGGAAAAAAAAAGTAATTTGCAGGGTATTTTGTTTGATATAAAGAGACCTATTTCAAATCTTTTTATTTTAATATTTTCTAAAACTCCATATTGTGGAGTAATAACGTCTTAATAAAGGTAATCTCAGGTGGCACTATATATCGTTTATGTTATATACAGTTTTCTACATTTGTTACCAAAGCTTTCTGATTGAATGTATGTGTCATTAAAACACCTATCCCCATTTCCCAGTGCAATTTGAAGTTGCTATAATAACCTCAGGCACACAGTATATATATATATATTTTTTATAAGAAACTTATATGGGGATGTGTGATCGTGTGTCTGCAATAAAAAAGCAAAAAAAAAGAATGCTTAAGAAAATGTAAGGGTGCAAGACAATAGATTTACACATGGATCTTATGGGCATTGGTGCTTGAAGTATATTTGTCAACACTGGGTCCTTTCCAATATTGCACTGATGCTGTACATCACTGTAATATAACAGATATTAGATTTGAAATATTGGAGCACAGCGTAAGATGAAAGCATGACTGATGTATGGAAAACTAAAGCAAAGAAGAAGTGTAGTGGAAAAGCAAGGTCAATAGTAGACTTGTCTTCTTACAATTCAATTCTGACTATTGATTAAAATATTCATTGCACACATATCTAATTTTTCCATTTAAAAGTGGAAATGTATTTTAACTATGTATTTTAAAAAACACAGCATGTTTGCTTTTTCCAATTGAAGATATTATCTTCTCAGCATGGAAGCAGGAACAAAATGTAGTCATGTTCTCTTTTTTTTGCAATGCTAAATAGCCTTGCTGCATCTCCAGTGAAACAAAATAGTCTGTTAGAAAGTAGAAGCTGAAGATTGCCTGTGACAGATTGCTCTTATGGGATATGAATAAGCAGATATTCTCAAAAGTCAGTGAACAATTCATCTACTAGACTTACAGCTCAACTTGCAGTATATTAGATTAAGAAAACTTTTTTTATCCCTCAAATTCCATGAAAGTTACGAAGCAGTTATTGAATCCACAACAAAACAAATCATGTTTTTTTCTCAGGTATATCATATTCATGGTCAATTAGGACATTCAGAAAATGAAAAAAAAAACCCATAAAATATTCAAATGTTGCTTTTTAATATACATTTAGAAATATGTACTAATGGGAATGTTCTATTTCCCAACAATATTTCTGAATGCCCCATTAATGGCTCATTGTTTTTTGCTGAGTGAAGTGGTAGCATTTCATAAAGAATAAGCAAATCAGGTAATTTAAATTTTTTTTCAAAGTCTGGATTTAAATGTAGAAGCAAATGATTTTAATTTCAACACCATTCAAGTACTTAGTTTATTTTAGTACCTGTCACTTTACCTTGTTTAATTTTGTTCCCCATGTTGCTTCTCGCACTAGTTTTTGCTTACCCTTCCTGTTTACAGGTTAGCATAGGAAACAATGCTTCAAGGACCACCAGCTCATTAGGTTAATCATAAACCAGAGTCCAAAATTCAATAGCCAAAAATTGTGTTCATAGAGCAATAATAACATGTTATATCTGACCACATAGTTGAGTTTATGTGCTTCTTCACTACAGTCCTCTTCGTACCCACATTGCAGCAAACTTGCACAATGCTGTGCTGAATAGCCATCGTGTTAATGTATCTCCAAGTCAGCTATTACATAAAGACAGACATCCCAAGTTTCCCAGTAGTTCCGGGAGACGTCAACATTTGAACACTGATCCCTGAAACCCGCAAATCATATGTAATATCCCGGAAATCACACACACTCTCTTGTGTGTGTGATTTCAATTGTATTTCATATGTATTGCTTCACTCCTCCCACCCATAATTATTGCTAAAAAGGGGCCTGGTCAGGTGCCAGCCCTTTAAGAGCCAACTTTGCCCCTGTGATATCAGGAAGGAAGTGACAGCTAAAGAGAGCCAACACCTGGGAAGAATGGACAGAGGAAGCAGCAGTCAGCAGAGGCACACATGAATGGAGAGAGGAGGGGCTGGAGCACACAGCATGGAAGGAGAGGAGAGGCTGGAGTGAGCTGCTGCTGCATGCTCACTCCCATCAGCCTCAGCCAGGGCCTGTACCCCAGTCATGCTGCCCTCCTGGACACAAATTTAAACAAACAGGAGGGTGGCTGTAAATATATATAGTATGACATGTTAAATTGTGTGTATGCCAGTGATATGTGCCAGTGTGTTTGTCAATGTGTATCTATGCATCAGTGTGCAAATGTATGTGCCAGTGTGTGTAACTGAATGTATGTATCAGTTTTTGTGTGTATTTGTGTGTGTGTGTGTGTGTGCCAGCATGTGTATGTGCTAGTGTCTGTATCTGTGTCAGTGTGTATCTGAGTGTATGTGCCAGTGTGTGTATCTTTGTGCCAGTATGTGTATCCGAGTGTATGCGCCAGTGTATATATCTGATTCCGTGTTTCTGTGTATATATGTGTGTCAAGGTTTTCATACATGTTTGGCGACGGCGGGAGTGGGAGGAGGAAGCATAGTAGCTGGTGAAGTCACCTCCCTGAAATGAATTTTTGCAAGCTGGGATGTCTGTAAAGATAAGCTAGAAGCTTAATTTTTTTTACTTAATTAAGGTCCAGTTGTTCTCAAAAAATAGATTAATCTATGCATTGAATACTAATTCAAGTTAGGAATTTTAAGGTTGGAATCTTCTCATGTGACAGACTAAGGACTAAGTTTTGGTGTAATAAAAACCTTCTTGCAACTTTGTCCTTACATTAGGTTCCCTTGTTATATTTTAATAGTGCCAACACCTATGTCCCCTCAGGTATAAAATTTGTAACCCCCAGCTACTAACCACAGGTGGAAGCAGAGGGGGAAATAAGAATGTATGCCCTTCGATTTTTAAAATTGAATAGCATCTATCCATTGATCACAGTGGATGTCTGCCCTTGTTTTTTTAAATTTAAAAGCAATACCTGCAGATCACTGTTCACCCATTATGTGATTTATGATCCCCCATCTGATGCCAATGAGGGCTTTCTACATTTTGTAGATATGCACCTAGCTGCCACGTGGAAGCTCGGGTATTATTGACTCCATAGGGTTTTAATTTATTTATTTCAATGTGGCAGTTAGTAAAGGATTCAAATGCTAAAGCACCAATTTAAATCAGGATGCCAAACACTTTTGTGCGATTGCTGCGGATTCACTCAGCCCAAATATGGATATTGCTATTGTGGTAAAAATTCTATTATTTTCAAAGGATTTATTCCACTCAGACAACATTTGTTTATTAAATAACCCTGCAGTTTTGGAATATTCTTGCGGGCTGATCATTCCAATACATATATGGTAGAGTGTTACGGTACCCTCAGCATTAAATGTACAAACTGCCGTTTAGTGAATGCTCCCCTTTCGCAATAGCATAGTCTGCATGCTTATCCAGTACAATCATGTGAACTGCAAGCAAGGGAACACTGTAAACTCACGAACGGGATCCGTACAGGCACTTCACTCCACGAGCTCCAAACTCATGAATCGCCAATAGTAGCCGAACGCATATATCTCCCAAGCGGCTAATAATTCCATCCAGCAGTCTCTAGTCATCAGTAATAAATCCCCCCAATAACGAGACTAAGCTCTGCATTGAGGGTAAAACAAGAACTGGCTTTACTGTGGGCTACCTGCCCGTATTTATGCAGGTTTCCCACTTGGTGGACACTCCCCTATGGGACCAAATGGGAGACTGTAACAACAGACAGACATATGGCAAGTTAGGATCCACAGACACAGAATATTCCCAGCATGCATTAGTATTTCCTCCCCTCTGCCCTGGAGATAATTGAGAAGTAATTCAATTCTCTCCAGGACAAGGACAAATCGCCATTTTAAATACAATATAGAAAAACACATAAAAATATATAACTTGGCTTCTGTCAAATGCTGCCCATTCGTATCACATTTCCTCAGATAGCCTGGATCTGAGTGCACATTATTGGCGAATAGCGCTCAGATCCCATACGCATAGTTCAATCGCCATGGAGTCAAAGTCTATTACAGTCCTTTGGTATGCGATTGACTCCATGTGAAGGCTATCTGGGGTAAGTCCATTTGTATGTTTAAACCTCCTGAACGGCCGGTGTTCGCATCCTTCTGTCGACTGAGAAGGGGTGGTTGACGGCTTCAGCGGTGTTCGACAGAAAGAGTGTCTGTTTACAGTTCCATGAAATATATGCCGAACACCGCTGGTCTTTCGCATGTTTTAAAATGGCCGCCGCCTCGTGGTCGACATACGAATGACGACCACCCGGTATTCGGTTCTTAATTGAGAAGTGTCTGCGGTTAACCACAACATTCTAATTGGGATCAATAGGTTAACCAGCAGCACACTTCTCTTCTGGGTGGCCGTCCGTTCGGTAGTTTCATTTGGCGGAAAAAGTCAATTCACTGAACAGAGGCATACGAACGGGTAATTCCACAAAAAGGCAAAAACAGGCAAACAGACAAATCCAGCAACCAGTCTGTACACAGATGGATCTGTCACATAGAGTTTCTCTGCTTAATGGTTTAGTTAGCTCACCTGAGACATGCTGAATGTCCTCATTACCACAGGAAAATCTATGACTTGTTTGTATGTTGACAGTACTGTCTTACATTCTTTGTTTATTTCCATATTCATAAGGTTCAAATCTTAGGTTAAAAGTTTCATAAAGGTAAATCCCTTACAAGCATGCTGCATAATTTAATTGACAACAATGAGAATATTTTTTTTAACTTCAAACAAACCTTTAAATGTTCCTTAAACCTCTCTCTCTCTCTCTCTCTCTCTCTCTCTCTCTCTCTCTCTCTCTCTATATATATATATATATAGAGAGAGAGAGAGAGAGAGAGGTTTAAGGAACATTTAAAAGGTCTCTCTCTCTCATTTAAAGGTCTCACTCTCTCTCTTTCTCTCTCTCTCTCTCTCTCTCTCTCTCTCTCTCTATATATATATAGAGAGAGAGACCTTTAAATGAGAGAGAGACCTTTAAATGTTCCTTAAACCTCTCTCTCTCTCTCTATATATATATAATGGAGAGAGAGAGAGAGAGAGAGAGGTTTAAGGAACATTTAAAGGTCTCTCTCTCTCTCTCTCATTTAAAGGTCTCTCTCTCTCTATATATATATATATATGTATATATATATATATAGAGAGAGAGAGAGAGGTTTAAGGAACATTTAAAGGTCTCTCTCTCTCATTTAAAGGTCTCTCTCTCTCTCTATATATATATATATATATATATAGAGAGAGAGAGAGACCTTTAAATGAGAGAGAGAGAGAGACCTTTAAATGTTCCTTAAACCTCTCTCTCTCTCTATATATATATATATAGAGAGAGAGAGAGAGAGAGGTTTAAGGAACATTTAAAGGTTTGTTTGAAGTTAAAAAAAATATTCTCATTGTTGTCAATTAAATTAATGATTGCATAAGTGAAATCATTGATGATTATAGAATCCAGCTTAACAGACATTAAAGAAGAGACTGCACATATATCTAGCAAATGTACACATGACGTTTATACAAATGAGGATATGGCAACTGCCATGCGAAAAAAACTAGTGTCCAGGAACGCAGGATGCATATATTAAATCAATCCATTAAAAGAATTTCGAGACATCAATGGAATTACTATAAGTTTAGAAAGTTTGGACCGTGTTAGTTTTCCAGTCAGTAGAAGTTTTGTCAAACCATACACGATGACTCACTGAATAATTTTCATTCTTGCCTTTAAAACCGAAACTATTCCATGTCCATTGTCCACTTTATTTACATTCATTTTTAGCTACATGTGCTGGTCTGTATTTGCATATTTAATGTCCCATTTAAGTCTTTCATATTGTCCTTATTTGACAATTCTTTTATACGACCTTACCCAGATGTCTTTACAAAAAGCAATCACGCTCTCATCAATTATTACTTTTTAGTATAGTAATTGAGCAAAGTATAAGAATGAGACAAAAGTATATATTTATCAAAATACAAGAGGAATAATTGATAATGAGTTGCAAATAATTTTATTTTTATTTTTTTTTAAGATGCTTTTTGTTCTTTATTGGTAGAATATACAGAAATACAGGTACATAAAGGTATGCAAATACACAGCAAGTTACATCGATTATTCAGCATCAAGTGTTCACCAAGATATACAATGTATTCGTTACATGTAACAAAGGGCAATGAGAATGAGTTAGTCGTCAGTGGCATACAATCAGTTACACGTATATATTAGTTATATATCCATAGTTGACAGTAAGGAATAAATTGCTTCCCAATCGAGCGAAGCCTGCTGGTAATCGTATGCTGTCACCATCTATGACTTGGACCTGTATAGCGAACATGCCATCTATTAAGTATGCAAACTTGGGTAAAACTCTGGGGAGGAAAAGGAGGGAAAGGGGGGTATCGGACCACGGTAGAGCTACTGTCCCAGAATT